AGGACACAGACCCTCCCAAGTTAATGATTAAGTAGACTAAGTCAATTCTTTGCATCAGAAGCCCCAAAGATAGGTTGCTTCGAATCAATAATGGGTGCCTTTTCCACCATCCATCATTCCAAATTGAGGATGATAAGGATATCAGGACCACAGATACATGTACAGGTATAAACCGCATGCACCTTGCGCATGAAGATATCGGTCTTTGACTGATTTTTCATGGATTGATGAAGCAGAGTTGAGACGACATCTATTTCAGATATTTTCAAAGAATTGCTCACCAGAGTTGAGTTTTTCCCACTCAGGGCAGTTAATGTAGCTTATTTTTTTAGGATATGTATGTTGCATGCACGTGCGATGCACGTGCAAAATTTAAATAATAATTTTTTTGTTGAATTTATGAAAATATAAATTTTATGCAAGTGTACCACTTATAAAGAAGTCCAAAAGAATTTAGAATTCAAATAATACTTATAAAAGAGTTCAAAAGAATTTGAAAGTCAAATTACGTATAAAAATAAAAATTATATAAGGATATAATTGATTTTATAAAAATTAGACAACTAAAACACGACATGCATTGCATGGGAACATATTTAAATAATAAACTTATTAAAAATATAAATTATATGTGTAATTTGAATTGAATAAATAAATTATGTGTAGGAGAATTAATTCTTATTTTAATTTTTACTAAACTTAGTTATTAATCTATACGGGCTAGTTTGTTTCAAGGATAAGGGTGGTATAAGGAGGTAGTATTAGGGAAATAGTACGTGGATCCCACTTAATACCCTGTTTGTTTTGTATTTTATAGGTAGTACTATTTTTCGGGTCGTAATACCAACCCGGTATGAACAGTAGACATAATGTCTTGTACATGGTATTAATGAATACCACCTATCCGGTGGTATTATATGCCCGGTACAAGTGAAAGGACAGTATAAGCTAGTGAAATGACACAAATGCCCTCATGTATTGGGCCCCCATATAAAAGCCAACTTTCTACCAAACCCTAGCCACTTGTTCACTCAATGCTCAGTCGCCTCCCTCAACGCTCAGTCGTCTCCCTGGCCACTCTTGCTCACTAGTTTCTTGGACCATATTCATTGCATTGTCATAATCTACCTTTCTCAAATTCCGCCTTCGATAAGTTTATTATAACCCTTATATTTCCTTGAGTCATCCAAGCTGTGACAACATTGTTTGTAAACAGAGATTTTTCTGGTTAAGACTTTATTTATTCATTGTACTACCTTTGGTTCGGTACTTTTTTAGTTCTTGAAGCTTTGGAAACTAAATATGATGTAGGTTGCTTTAAAGTGGGGGTTGAATTTTGTCCATTAAAAAAATGGTTCAATGAACATGAACAAGCCAAAGCTTTGAAATTCTTAATTTAGGGAAGGCTAGGTTTTGATAGAAACTTATTTTTGTGTTTTTTTTTGGCGTGGTGGTTGGAATCGGAATTTGGTTGCCTATGTTGGGCATGGACTCTTTTAAAATTCAGTTCGGTACTTTTTAGTTTGGTTTTTTCTTGACTTATACATTGTGCAATGAGGAATCTTAACTTTTGGAAAATATATGGAATATGTTGCAGAGCATTCTCTTTCAAACAAAGAAAACAATGTATCATATGACTAATCTTTTTTTTTTTTTTAATGCAACTCTTAGGTTTGGCTTGACTTGGCCTTTTCATTGTTCAATGAACGCCGGGATCTCTGTAGCCACTGTAGTAATTTTATTTTCAGTCATTAACTTTTATGATTTTTTTATATTGAACAAAAAAAATGTATTCTTTGTTGTGATGTAATCTAATGCATGCTTGTTACTTTAATATGTTTTTTTTTGGTAATTTAAAGCGCTTCATAACAAGCGCTGCTTGTTGGCTGTGGATGTTTACTGAAATTTGTGTTAGTGGCAGTAGTTATGGATGAAGACAATGATCTCAGTGTGCCATTGGTGGTTATTTTGGATAGTGTCCTCTCTGATATGGTTATGATATGCTCATGTCTAATTGTTGTGATTGCAAATTTGTTGGAATTTCATGACATTCAAAACAACAATAGGATCCCAAGCTCAGTCACGCGAACCCGACTGCAAATAGAGCATCTTAATAGATTGATAGGTGTAAGTGATATAACATGCTACAATCAACTTAGAATGGACCGACGATGTTTTTCTATATTGTGCACACTAGTTGAACATGTTAGTGGGCTCAGTCGTACAAGGAATGTTAGCATTGAAGAGATGGTAGCTATGTTCTTGAGCGTTATTAGTCATGATCATAAGAATAGACCAGTCAAATTCAGTTTCATTAGATCTGGTGAGACGGTTAGTAAGTATTTCAATGCAGTGTTGTTGGCGGTTCTTAGGCTACGTCGATTACTGCTTGTAGTCCCTGATCCAATCACAAATGAATGCACTGACCCTAAGTGGAAGTTTTTTAAGGTATTCTAAGTTTTTTTAAAGTAGATCTACATTTGAGTTGTCACGTCACGTAGTATGTACTTAACGAAAATCAGTTGATAATATGTTTATTTCCTATTGCATAGAACTGTGTTGGGGCTTTAGACGGCACTCACATTAGAGCAAAAGTGCCACTTGTGCACCAAGCAAGATATAGGACAAGGAAAGGGCAAATGGCAACAAATGTGTTAGGTGTTTGTGCACCTGACATGAAAATCATTTATGTTTTGCCTGGTTGGGAGGGATTAGCGGCAGATTCAAGAGTCCTTCGGGATGCAATTACAAGACATACTGGGTTACGTGTTCAACAGGGTAAGCTATAGTGAAAATTTTTAGCATTTGTTTTTTTTTTTTTTTAGAAATTATTTACTAATGAGTATATACACAATTACGACAGGCACATATTATTTATGTGATGCTGGTTACACCAATGGTGAGGGTTTTTTAGCTCCTTTTAGGGGTCAACGATACCATCTTGACGAATTTGGAAATGAAAGGGAAGCTCCTCGTAATGCCGAGGAATATTTTAACCTAAAACATTCATCTACCAGGAACGTTATTGAGAGGTGTTTTGCTCTCCTCAAGATGCGATGGGCAATTCTTCGAACTGCCTGTTTCTACCCAGTTCCCACACATAATAGAATTGCTACTTGTTGTCTGTTACATAATTTCATTAGAAATGAGATGTCAGTTGACCCATTAGAAGACCACGTACCCGAGTATGTTCTTAATGAGGACGATGACAACACCAATGTAGTTGATAGTGTTGAGACCTCTACTGCGTGGACTGCTTGGAGGACTCAGTTGGCGAATGAAATGTACGAGGCATGGTGGATAGGTAGATGAATTTGGGGGGGTAGGGGGAGGTGGTTATTTTGCGACTTTTAATTAGTAGACTAAAAGACTTATATGTTTGTAATGTGTTATTGATACTTCGTTTGGTTTGATTAATGGTTGTACTGACTGTTATGTAATACAATTTATTTGGTGGTGTTACAATGCAATATATTCGATATTTGCCGTATTGTAATTGATTTAACTTTCCAATATTCACTTGAGACTGATAAATACATACATATATATATACATAGAATATGGATAGTGTTGGCAACTCGCATTACATGAGTGGTCCGCAAGTGGAAAAAAGTACCAGGCGAACATGGACAAGTATGGAAGAGACAAAACTATTAGAAGCACTGAAGGATCTATGTATAGCAGGGTTGAAGTGTCCTAATGGTACATTCAGGCCAGGTTATCTGCAAATGCTAGAACAAAGAATTGGCAGCAGTACACTTCGTGCACAACCACACATTGAATCAAAGATAAAAATGTGGAAGAGGCAATATAATTGTATATTTTCTATGATGAATACGAGTGGTTTTGGGTTTAATGACACTGATAACAAAATTGAGGTTGATTCGGATGATGCTTAGGATGAGTATTTAAAGGTATTTTTTTTTAATATAGCACTTTATAATTAATAAAGTTGTTTTGTTATTTTTAGTATTCCACTTATTCGAGACATGTTCTTTCGTGGTATGGTTGTTGTAGAAGGATAAGCAGGCTAAGGGGATGCGTGAAAAATGTTGGTCATACTATAAAGACTGGGGAATTATTTTTGGCAAGAATCGTGCAACAAGCGAATTTGCGAAGGATCTTGATGAAATGATTGGAGGGAATGACAACGAGGAAGCAGAGCACGAAATTTACCCGACAGGAATTAACAATGAAAATGAGACAAATGGTGCAAGTCATAGTACAACTCAAGGCATGGATGTTTCCACAGACACCCCAACTACCAAAAGGACGAAAAAGAGAAAGGTTTCGACAGTTGCCGAGGTCATTGCATGTAGCTTGGGTGATATGACAAGGGTCTTAGGTGAGTATGTTACTACTTGTGGTCGTAAGCTTGATAATATTGCACATAGGGTAGGCCATGCCCAAGATGTTTCTCAATCTAGAAAAAGAATCTTTGCTGAGCTTGAGAAAATTGGGTGGCTTGATGAGGATCTACTATATGAGGTTGGTTACAGAATTGCCTCTGATCCGGTTAAGGTGGACTTGTTCTTTAGCTTGTCTGACGCATCAAAGTCGTCTTGGGTAAGGAAGTTGTTGTACGGATCGAGCTACCAACATGTGTAGGGTTAAGTATGGTATTTTGTTTTTTTGACGTGATATAGGTGAAAGTGGTCCACTTTTTTTGCTTGTTCACCTATGTCCGTATGTAAAATATGGTTTAGTACGTTTGGGTATGGTACTAACCCATATTTTTACTTTTTCCTGGGTAGACTTTCTTGAACTATGTTTGTATTATGTGTGGTTATTTTGGACAATATTTATGGTTAGTGTTTGTAATGTTACCTGCTATGTTTTGACATTAATTGGGAAATGTATGAATATAGTTAACATTATGAATGGATATCTATTGTAATTGATTTTGGTGTTATGATATGATTGTATTGTTGAATGAATTTGTATAAATTGGTGGTGTGTCAATGGTTTGTGCATTTGGTTTGCACAATATTATGTAGAAAATGTCGGTTCCTCGAATTAGTCCTGTGGAAAGTGAAGTGTTGATGGCGGTGTTGCTTCGAAACAAACAACGAGGCATAGTGCCTGAACGAGGCAGCATGACAGCTCAACACTTCAAGGATTTGGTAATGCAGGTGAAAAGGAGACTGCCGGCAATTTGCATTGATCAAATTGACCTTGTCAAGATTATTTTTTTCTAGAAGAAAAAATACTTCACTATCAAGGCTATGTTGAAGACAAGGATGTTTGCTTGGGACTCAATAAACTTGTGCGTCGTAGAAGGGCCGCTCGCTGGGGCGGTGACAACCTACTGGTAAGTGTTTAATTCAAAACTATATTAATGAATATCATCTTATGCCTCTTTGTTTAATTTAGTTTTCACATTCGCTTGAATTCATGATGTGTTTAACTGTCATTAACTTGCAGGCAAACAAGTTTACAAGAACACATTGCATTGATCCATGTCTTTTGTTCGAGAAAATGATGGAGGTTTTCGACAACGTGTCCCCGGAAGAGTTGATTGAAAGTATGGGCTCTTGTTCCGGTGGTGATCCAGCAGATGACATAGAGATTATCGATATTTCTGATTAAGCTTAGTCCTTGTTAGAGTATGATTGTATGTACACTATGCTTTCCACATGCTATTTTGGTTTTTAGGTATGACTATGTGTGGTAGTAGTTGCTGTTCAAGAGTCCTTGGGAGTTTCATCTTTTGAGAATTCCATTGACCTGTTTATATTATGTATGTAACAAAGTTTACGGAGGATGTTTGTAAAATTGCTTGTGGAGACAGTTGTTAATGCTATTTTGTGGCTCTTAGCTCCTTGCACTGGTATCTTATATTTAGTGGCAGTTGAAATCTTTTGATGCAGTGTATATGTTGATATGTTGTGCATTCATTTTTTTGATTTAAAGGGAATGACAGTGTTGTGTGTAGTGTGGTAGAAATTATGTCTAGATTGTTAAGGCAGGAAGTCTTTAACTATAGTGCTGGAATTTTGCTTCTGGAATTCTATTGTAGATAGAATTGATCGGGGAAACTTGCTGGAACTCCTTGCTGGAATTCCAATTTTTTTTTTCCTAACTCTTAGCTCCATTTTGCTAGAATTTTGTTTTATTTGTTGCTGGAACTCCATTATTGCTGGAATTCCATTTTTTTTGCTGGCTCTTAGCTCTATTTTGTTGGAATTGTTGCTGGAATTCCATTTTTTTTCCCTGGCACTTAACTACTTGCACTGGAATTGTTGTTGTAACTCCATCATTGATGGAATTTTGGTGGTATTCCATTGTTGCTGGAATTTTTGTGCGTGTATAATATTTTCGTTTATGTGTATTGTGTGTTGTGTGATGCCTGTTGTGTGTGTGTGTTATACCTGGGAGACACTTGCCTTGAACAGTGCATGCAACCAACGTGGAACAACAAAAAAAAAAAAAAAAGTTTTTGGGTAAGTATCATGCACAGGTGGTTGTAGTAACAAACAAGGGCATGGATTGCTTTGGACTATAAGGTTATAATTGTCTTTTTACATTGAATAGTTCATTTGACACACCTTTTGATGTAGGTATCACAAAAAATTTTTGTAGGAAACAAACAAAGGGAAGGAAGGGATCAAAATTTAAGCCTAGGCATAGTATCCCATGGGGTTGGAGTGGAATGGATATAATTGTTAGTACCACCCATAAATAATCCTTGAAACAAACTAGCCCTACATGTATTATACAATAACTTGAGTTATTAGAGTTACTATTGTAATTAAAGACCTAAAACTATAAAAATAAGTCAAGCGAATGGCTAGAGACCTAATGTTATATAATAAGAAGAGTTTTGATAAGACGTGAAAGAAAAAATAATGACATTAATAAAGATACATGGGGTATAATTAACTTAACATTACTAAATAGGAAATCAAAAATTTTTCACAAATGCTGACATAAATATATTTACACACACACACACATTCTATCCCTGAAGTATGCATTCTTTGACAATTTATTCCCTGATGTTTCTAATATGTGTTTAATTGGTCCAATTTCGAATTACCTCTTAAATCGATAACGACATTATCTCAAGTGTCATTCACGTAAGCAACTTGCAAAGGGTAATCTCTGGAGGGGAGGGGGTAACAAGTGCCACTTCTACCTTTATCTCTCCAACTCCCACCTTTTTCCCTCTATATCTCTCCAACTCCCACCTTTTTCCCTCTATATCTCTCCCCTTTCCCCACTGTCGCCGCATAAACTAAGAACGCAATGATGTAAACAAAGTAATCAAAAATTCAAAGCACAACAAAGCAAATCCAAGTCTACATTTTTGGGTTAATAAAACTCATTTCCAAATATCAATGAGGCATAACAATGCAATACATCAAAATACATAGAGGGTTGCTTGAAAACTAAACAACCCACTAACTAAAAATCAAGGTTGACAAAGAATGGTGAGAAATTTAAAAAATTGACTCTTAAATATCCCTATTTTAAGCTGATCTTCCTTGAAATCCCTAAGAAAATTGCTTTTTTGGAACTCACTTTGAATTGAAATCCGAACCCATATGTTCATCTTAGATACAAGAGAGAGTCAAAGTGTGCAAGAAAAGAAAAGAGTTTTGCAAATGTTGCGGCAGTGAGGCTTATGGGTTCTAATTTCTATAAGGCATGGAGGAAAGACTAGTTCGGTGGAGGAAGTGGGAAGGAGATGTGGGGTGGATAAGTGGGAGAAGTGTTGGGAAGTTGCCATAGTGAATAGGGAAAAGGGATGGAGGCCACAAGAGTTGCACAGAGGAAAGAGAGAATGTGCAACTGTTGTAAAGAGAGAGTTGGCATGGCAATTTACTATTGGAGTTGTTTTTCCAAATAATTGCCCTAATATGATTTACACATATTAGATATTGTAATTTATTTTAATGTAAGTTAAAAATTAGTCCAACTAAATGCAAATTAAAAACATCAGGGACCAAATTGCCAAAATTAAAACAATAGAGACTAAATTGACAAAAGACGCCTACTTCAGGAAACAAAAATGTATCTAATCTCTATATATAAAATATAAAGTTGATTTCATGTTATGTTAATTTGTTTTCTACATTGTGGGAATGTTCTCATCTTCCTTTAGGACATATAAATAGTCACATACTTGACATGTGACCCTAAATGATGTGGCATTTAGTTCAAGTGATGTGTAGGCTAGAGAAAAAATAAAAAGGTGAAAACTTTAGGGTTTGTTTCATTTGAATACCTTTATTATCAATAAGAGGGGGAATCTCCAAAAGAAACTCAATTTAGTGGTTACCACTTTTACCCCCTTTTTCTCTATTTTTGTCCTTCTCCTTCTTTTTTCTTGTAATCATTCTTCTTCTCTTCATTCTCCCTCCTCCATGCACTTCTCTATTTCCTTGTTGGTATTTTCACCTCCACTAACCTACCTGCTCAATTAGGTTGAACAAAATTTCTAGGCATCTGACCACATGTTCATATTACTTGAGAGCTCAAGAAACACACTGGGTGATATTTCCTCTTGTTTTCCTTCCCCTTTTTTGTTTACCTCTGTTTCCTAACCCTTTTCCTTCAGTATTGCAATGTCACGTTGATCTAGAGGGTCGCAAAACTACTTGAAAATTTTGAAGCTTTATTATTAAACAAAATTTGAGGCAAACAATCTTGGGAATTGAACCTTCAATTTTCACCACTTGCTTATTGTTGTCAATTATGTTTTCAAGGACAAAATAAGTGCACAGGGTTGTGATTTGTTAACTTAAACTCATGGAACTTACTGGTTTTAATATAGAATTGCTTCTTGTCATTGTCCGGTAAATTAATTTCAAAAGTTCCCCATGATCTTTTTTTCTAACCCTAGGGTTGCACTATAATGTCTCTCATGTCTCTCATGAACCAAGCCTCCCACCCACCCCAATATCTACCATCCACCATGTAACACAAACCAAGCCTCAATTTTCAATGCACAAGTACACATCATCCCACTCTATGAAGTGATATCTGATCCATACCCGACCAAACCAGCAGTAAAACATTTTAAGTTTTCAAACCACTTCACCATAGTTGCTAGGACCATTAAGAGTGGCATAAATAACATAAGAAACTATGGACCAACTTTTGTTTAGAGCAAAATACCACGTTCCACACTTTGATAAATATTCTCTCTTCCACCCTACTAATCTCCTTTGAAATCTATCTACTCTTCAACCATCAAGCAACTTCGCCATAAATAAAGATTGCAAAGGTATCTTAAGTACATGGTAGGTAGAGCTTTCACCTTGTACTACAAATCAACAACTAACTACACCACATAATCACCAACTTGGACATCAAAAAAAATATAAAGCTAAAGCTAATCCACTTTAATGCAACAAAAAACAAAGGAACAAATAATGAAAATTGGCATTGCATCCAAACCTCCACCTCAAATACTAAACAAGCAAATATTGAGCATTATCCTCAGTGTTAGAACATCCAACTTAAACCAATTGGAAATAAGTGAAAAGGCCCCTTAAGCATATAAATCAACTTTGAGTGATCCTAATTATTCGATTTGGAATACAACCACTCTAAGTAAGTTCTCTCACATAGGACCTGGGCACATGTGGCTAATAAACAAACATGCATCCCGTGAAATTCAACTGGGCAAGAGACTTGGTCTACTAACCACTCAAGACCGTTAATACCATATTAGAACATCCAACCAAAAACCAACTAGCAATGAGTGAAGAGTTACCTAACATACAAATCACCATTGAATGATCCTAATCATTCGAAATGAGATACAAGCTCTCTTTACACTAAGCGTATGGCTTATAGCCGCCATCACAAGAATGAACGCAACACAAAAAATATGATGGGCCAGACTACCTAAGATCCCTTGAACTACAAAAAAGGCCCCCTAGAAAACCATAAAGTATAAAAGAAACCAAGTTGAAGAAGCCACTTGCCTAAATCCATTTACTTTTTCTTGCCAAATCTAACTGGCCCAAACCTGGGGAGGGCTAACAATTTTTGAATGTGCAATGTGTTGCAAATGAATGTTTAGATTTCAAACTAGGGAATGGTGAGCCTAATGACATTTGTCCAAAGGGTATTGAAAAGGCCTAGGCTAGGATCATGATTCATGAACCAATGTGTCCCATGTCCAAAATACCACGTGATTGAGGACTACTACTGGGGGTTCAATTCAACTAGACTGGTTGTAAGCAACTGTAATAATTATTCCTTTGCTAAGGTGTATTGGCAGGTTTTCGTAATTACAGCAATTCTGTAAGAAATGAAGGCCCTTTAGGGGTGAGCTCGGCTTGCTTTCTAAGTAATGAACTCAAGCAATGACGCTACAAAACACAACACATAAAGACAGATATGTAAATCAACCCACATAAATTTCATTGAGAGCATATCTCCTCTCAAGGTTGTCAAGAACACCAGGCTCATTCAAATACGTCAATTTCGTCATGTCATCCACTCCTCCATGGTCCGCTTCGGCATCCCTCGGACACAGCTTCTCGGGAAAACTCAAAACCTGCAAAAAACAAAAAAAATAAAAACTCCAAATTGCCATCTCAGCACACGCCACTAAAAATTGAATTTTCTTTCCCTTCAATTCATTTCTCGGAATTCAAAAATCAGAAAACGCTTCACCTTCTTCCCAGATTCAGTGGCAACTTGAACTTGTTTCCCAACAAAATCAGTCACTTCAGCTGCGACCCAACCGGAGTTTCTGTCTTCGACCCAGACCTTCGAACCCTTTCGGAGACTCATCTTCGATTCCTAGAGCATCAAAAAACCGCAGAAATTTTGAATTGCAGAGTTTGAATTTGAACAAACCCTAGAGAGAGAAACACTGACGGGCATAAATATAACTTTGGTGGTATTTTCGGCTTCCCGCCCTCAGAAATGGAGGAGCAAATAAGTTAAAAAATGAGGCGATAATATTTTTTGGCATTTATATATTTCTTTCTAGACACGTCAACAATACTGAGCTTTAAGTGTTAATTTAGGTTGTTAACTTATTGGGTGCATACTGAACACGGCTACACGCTACTTAACCCTTTTGTTATGTACCGGGTTTTTGGCTCCAGTCGTGTGCCAAAAGTGGGGGCCATCGATGAAAGTTTTCGAACATAAGTGATAATTGTTAACACATAATTAAAACAGGTCAAATTGATTAATTTTTTACACAAAATTAAAAATAATACAATTTAATAATTTAAAAGCTAATATTAAGTACCAATAATTCAAATTTAACACAAAAAATGTATATAATAAAACACATAGCAACCTAAATTTTTATCTCTAATATATTTTTTCCCTAAAAATATCATATCACTCATTTATATAACATTTTCAATCATTTAATGTTTGATTAATCTGTAATTTAACATAATTTTTATTTCAAACAATATCTATATACGATAATATACACATATTGAAAAAATTAATATAGTGGGATCAATTTTTTGGATGCTTAAATTTTATGTTCTATCGTGGCTTCAGACACAGATTATGACTTGTACATTTATATATGAATAAAATGTCTAATTTTTATCATTTTTAACCTACTATTGACATGATTGTTGTAAAATGAAAGAATTTATGTGCTTATTTTTTGTATTACATACACTTGAGGGATTTTTAATTTATGAAATAGCTATGAGAGGTGCGCTTTGAATAAACATTCAATGTAATAGTTATATCACGTTAGTAGTGTCATGTCATATAACCGTCTAATAAAAAAGTTAGAGAATGAATAAATTGAACTCCACTTCTTTACATGGAAGTGTTTATATTTTATGTGAATGGTGGTTATTGATTTTTTGTTGGTGTCTTGCTCACTTGTTTATTTATTAGTAGATGGTTGCACTATATGGCTTTATTGATGCGGTATAACTGTTACACTCAATATTTTTATCGTAGGCTTGGTTGATAAATAATGGTTGTATTTATGTTAAAGTTTTTATTTATGAGTTATATGAGTAAACCCGAACATGGAGGGATAATAAATAAAGTCGATTAGTGTCCTGACATATAACATGATTAATTAAATAAATTGTGTTAGAGTTTGCTAGAATTCAAAACGAATCCAAAATAATACAACTCAAACATGAAATGACACGATTATGAGAGCGCGGTGATCAACTCCAATACGATAGACTCAAACGTACTTGACCTATGGTGTGTGAATAGCTATTGGCACTCCATTGCGAATTTGATGCTCAATTCAAAACCTAGTTCCATCAATTAATTAATTATCACAATTAGTGCACAATTCCCCCAAAATCAAACAATCCAGTCCACCAATTTAGAGATTTACTCAAAATTCTCAAATTCCAAACTCCCTCCATCAATTGAATGTGTCTAATTATATCGGTCTAGACCCACAAAGTGATTCATAAGCATTCATTCAATCAAGCATATGAAGAATGTAAATTGTAAGAATGGAAGGAAAACAATGCAAAAAACACGCAACCCCAAAATAAGTAATTTTACATGAAAATCCTCTCAAGAAATATCACGGGGATCCTAGTTCACCTAGCATAATCTACTAGGCTCAAAGTTGAATTTCTAAGTTCAAAATTTTTTTTCTTTAAATCTATGGCAGTCATGCTATCGATGACATTTTATACCAATTTTAATTCACCTAATTGAACAAAACTAAAGGAACTAGGTATTTAGGTTGGTAGATCATGTATTTTAATTGGTTGATTTCGTGAAGTCTTTGTAAATCTCAACCTATTTCATGGTCATGATGCTACAACGATGAAAATCTGAAAGCTTCACATGGAAAGGAAGAGATCATGCTTCAAGTTATATCAAATAAATCTCTATATGAACATCCATGCTTAGGACAAAAGCAATGATCTTAAAGACCTAAGAACATTTGGTTAATTAAGTAGATTTAGAAAAATTAGAGTTAAAATGATATCAGTGATTGATCCATGTATAGCTCTTAGGTGTTCTTTAAAGAAAAGTTTGTCTAAACTTCTTTTGTATTTTGAAAACATAGTTTGAGTCATTAACAGACCCCTCTTGAGCAACAACCTTTAGTTTTCAAGAGGCCTAGCTTCTTGCTTAGTTTTAGGCTTAAAAAACTAGTAGATATTGTCATACGTTTGCTAGTTTTCGCTAGAGCGGCCTCTAAAGAAGTAGGAAAATTTTGGGCAAAGGCTAAATAGAGAAACAGTAGGGACCGTCCACTGGGCTACTCAAGCGGTCTCAAAGATAGCTCGAGTGGTCTCATGGTCGCTCGAGCAGTCCTGCTCTCCTAGATCTGGTTTATTTTTTTTTTCATTCTAGTTACCATTGTTCTCTAACCGCCCTCCCACCCCATCGATTGGTTGTTCGTGAATGTGTTTTCTTGGACCCCAAAACAAACCAAGCCTATAAATAGAGGGATGTCTTCCAAGGTAAGCTTCTTGAGTGTCAATTTAGCCTATTTTATACCTTGAGAGCTTGAGCCACAACCCTAAAACCTAAAATCCAAAGACTATCATCTAGTGATTCCTATTCAATCTCACATCTTGTAAACAAATAGCATGTTTGGTTGAACCAAACCCATTGGCAAGTATGCATACCAAGATTCTTGGGCGTATCCAAGGAGTGCTCAAGGCCTAAAAGAACTGTGTGGCGGGAAGTTCAAGTAAAGCTATCCAAAATATCGCAGAGGGAGTTTTGGCAAAGAGGATTATTAAAGGAAATGAGCGTCTAACATAGTATTAGTTGAGATATAAGTCTCTACCACTTGAAAATTGACCTTGCGATAATGGATTAAGTTTTGGTGAACTTCGAGTGGTTTTCTGTGATTTTTTTCGAGGAGGATTTCCTTGTCAACAAATCACTTATGTTCTTTATTGCTTTTATATATACATTTGTGATTTTAGGCACACACAAGTACTATGTATTTGATTATATAATTGTTTGAATATCTACATCATACATAATTGCTTGATTGAATTTGATACCTTGGTTCGGGTCACCTTGTGAGATTGAGTGTTAATCAATAAATTAATAAAATCAATACATCAATTTGCATGGATGTTTAGGATTGTGGCAATTGAAAAGGAGTTCTCACACTTAATGTTTATATCATTATGTGATGAGGTAATTTGGTAGACATAGGTTAAAATCGGTGGTCATTCAAGCTTAAACTTTAGTTAATTTATTCACCCCCCTTCTAGGTAGTGTCTTGTGATCAACATGTATAATCATAGGTAATACCCACTCGTATCTCTCCCCATTCCACGACATAGGTCATTTACCTTTACCTAAGCTTGACGAATTCCAGGAAGTCTTTAGATATGGTTTTGTAAAATGAACTTCTTCATTCCTCTTAGCTTTGGCCTTCTTCTTCTTAGCATTTAATCATGTATTTATTTGAGTTATTTAAATATAACATGGTGGAATTACTCAATTTCAAACAAATTTCTAGCAGACTAGATTTCACCCCTCCGAACAATTTGCCTTATATAGGTTATAGAATGTTATAACTACAAGAAAATCCTATTAATCTAAAAAGAGTTACATTTATGTCCATTATTATTTTTTGTTAAATAATAAAAGTATCATAATGTGGTTTTTAATTAATATATCCTCAACACATTTATATGAATATATGCAGTTCACCTTCACCTCTCCACCTCTGCCACTTCTAATAGTCCAATATACATATGCACACCACACAGTGCACACATATTAGTAGATTGTTGACATTTACAAAACATGGAGAGAAAGAGAGCAAAAGCACAAAAAAAAAAGAATATAGTAGAGTAGAAACATAGATGCAAAGAAAGGATGATAAGAGCAGAGAGCAAGAGAGATTAGAAGCACACATTGAGAGAGGCTTATCCTAGATATAATAATGATAGGTGTGTGTGTGTGTGTGCATGTGTATAAAATAAAAGGAGTGATTTCAAAAATATAAGGTACAAAGAAGTAGCCTTAACCTTTAGTGTATAGTATTGGGTCTTATCAGTTTGGTAGCATTTTCTATTTCTTAACAATTTGTCATGGGCTCAAAATAATATCTCGTGGACCACATTCTGATTATTTTTTAATAGGATATCAAATCTAAGACATTACAATAAATCATTTACTTTCACTTAACTTTAAGTTAAATCCAGTATTTACTCAGACATATTCGTGCTCTACCTTACATCAATGGAAAGTTCTCTGTTTCTAGTTTTCAACGTAGCAAGCGGTGCGACATTTCGATATGGACTATAAATTATGCATATTTTACTTATATATGTATGCTCTCTGTTTATTTGCCGGTAAAGTATAAGAAAAAATAAGGTAGAAAATTTTCAATTTCTCATACCAACAAAAATTTGAAATTGTTTAGTCAGATGCCATCGTATCTAACCCCACCTCAATCTCATTCTCTTTTTAGTTTCCAGGAAAGTATAAGAAAATAGAAGATAGAAAATTTTTCAATTTCTCATACCAACAAATTTTGAAATTTTCAATAAAACACCATTGCATCTCATCCCCCACCTCAATTCCCCAAACCATGATGGGATTTGAAGCCTAGCACCCACCTTCACCACTAGCCCAAGGCACCATGCATTTGGCTTAACATAATATTAAAGCCAAAAATTTCACTTACCTCTTTTGCCTCACTTAGTTTGGGAAATTCGACCATCATTCATGAGTAATTTACTAACAGTTCATCAGAAAAGTGAAAAAAAATCTAATGTTGCTTAGTAATCCATGAGCACCTCAAGAATATGTATATATACATATACAAATAATCAAAATTTATAAAATATACTACTTTTAAGTTATCAATGAGCACCGTAACAACATTG